CGCGCACTTCCGACCCCGACCCGAAGAGAGCGACTTGCCATGGCGAGGAGGCGCGCACCGGCGGAACCCAGACCCAGAGAGCTCGGTGGCAGGAGGAGCCGGCAGCCGTTTTGCTTTCGGTTTTTTTGTTCCCTCCCACCCCGCCGCCTGCGCTGCGGCAGCAGCCCGGACGTCCCATCCTTTGTGCAATTTTGGAAAAGGCGCTGCAGAGAGGCAGCTCTCTCCCGCAGGAACTGGGGACGCTCCCGGTGACGCGTCTCTCCTGGAGCCTGGATTCTCCGCCACCAGCCCGCTTCGCCCTGACCGTCTGCCCCCAGCCGCCCCCTGCTCACCTGCCCAGCCCAGCCCTGGGACGCAGGGACTCTACACACACAAGCTTCAGAGTTGCATCAAAGAGAAGAGGAAGAAGAAAGGCAAACTGATGGCAGATAGGAAGTTCACCCCTAAATGAAGAAATATAAGGTGAAATCATGAGATATCTTTTTCTACCCTTACAATGGCAAAATTAAAAAGCATAAGAGTGGCCCATGTTAACCCCATGGGGCGGGGATATTGCTACAAGCTGAAGTTTCTTTTAGAATTTTGGCCCCTGTACCACACCTTGGCTCTGCGTACTTCAAATGAGGCACTTGAGAAGAGCCTCAGAAGCAGAAAGTCTCTTTGATCTTCCTGGGCTGTCTCCTGCCACCACCCCTCCCTTTGCTGTCCCCAAGCCAGTCATAGAATCTAGAATTTCTCTTCCCGGTTGTGGGTCTTGAAACTAGAACTCATCTCCCTCAAAAAAGCCGTGAAAGCCAGAAGAGTCACTCTATCCCTTCTCCTTGCCTCCTTGCAGGCTCATTTATCGGAGGGTTCCTGCCACATCCCCAGGAGGAAAGTATGCTACTACTCAGAGAAGCCCAGAAGACTCTTTTTTGGGGGGCGGGGGCTTGCACTTGCGAGGCAGGCAGCGGAACCACACTGAGCTAAATCCCTGGGCCAGCCTAGAAGAATCTTGACAGGCCCTCCTGGGTCCCCTCCCTCTGATCATCTGTTACCATTAGATCCTAACCTTGCACACAATCATATTTCTGTCCATGTCTGTCCCTTCGTCACGAAACTGTAGTACAAAAGTCATTTTCCCCAGATCTTTGGGTCATTTCTGAAGGCTCCCATATCTCATGAAACTTGCATAAAACAAATTTGTTGCTCTTCTCTTGTTAACATTGTTTTTATTAATGTTGTTGTTATGACAGTATTGGTTGTGACCCGTATGATGGCTAAGGAAAAAGTCACATCTTCTCACCCTTATACTATCAAAATGTAAAGTACAAAATATGGAAGACTCTGCATATTCTTGGACTTGGCAGTTCCCTTCGAATTGAACCTGAAGTGACAATGCACCAGTGGCACTAGCATATGATAGAGAAAGTTTAATTGTATGTTGCTTGTGAGTCAGGTAATAACTTTCTAAAAAAAAAAATTGAAATCTACACCGTTTGTCAATGAATGGAGCTATTCATTGTACACGGAGACACAAGGCTATGAAGATTTTTAAACAATGAGGTCATCTACATGTAATTCCTCAATCTATAGTTTATCTGCAGACATATATCTAAGTACCTGTTTGTCCAATAGACACCTGAAGTTTACCACAATTAAACACAAAGCTTTTTTCTCCCTTTTTTCGGTGCTGGAGATCAAACCCAGGGTGTCATGCCTGCCGGCTACTCTCCCATTATGTCACACTACCAGCTCTAAAAACTCATTTCTTCAGGAAATGATCCAGTCCTGCAAGAACTGCACTAATCCCTTTTAAGGGAGGTGCCCCTCTGACAAATTACCTTCCTCTTCGGGGTTATAACAGTTGCCTAGGTCACTTCCCGGGAAACCAGACAGCCACTTTTACTGAAAACCCTGCCTCTTTTCTTGGTCTTACAGATGTCTGATGGGTGACTAAAATTCAATTTAAAAGGCTTGGCATCTGTCTTTCATCCGTGTTTGTTCCTTTTGCTTGCTTAACTTTTGAGTTAGAGTCTACTCGGCTCTACATAGACATGGTTATCATTTAAGAAATTCAGTTCAAGGCTGTAATGAATATTAATTTGGCCTATTGCCCACTGGAGCTGTTATGTGCTTTTTCTCTCTTTCCCTTCTTTTCTGCTTCTAATCCTATGCTTCTACAGAAGCCATTAAACCCCAGGCGTGTAAAGTTTGTTGGCCCTGCAACAAACCTACAAGGCCAGGATGTCTTTCATAGAATTAGGGCACCAGATGCACAAAATTTAACAGTTTCTCAAACATCTTGACCATGGCCATCCAGTAACTGAAATTCATCCCAAGAAAAGAAATCTTTTGGAACTATGCCCCTGACCAGTTGAAATTATCAGGCACCTTTGACACTAACTGCTGGCTCCTTTCAGCCAAAACCCCAAGTCCATGAACTCCCTTCCCTCCCCAACCTGCAGTTGAGATTTGCCTGTGCAGGAGTGAGTGCCTACAGTATTTGGCCGTTATTTCTACCATCTCTGGGACAAAAGATTCCATCATCCAGTATCACCTTCACACATTAAGTAGAGTGATCTCTTCTTGGACACACATTTTAAGGCCTTGTAACTTAATATTCAATTTGTTAAATAGGCAATACAGTATCTTTGCTAAGTTTTCAAAGACAGATCTCTGCCTATGAAACCACTACAATTCTTATTAGGACAGCATTGTTTGATTTTTTTTTTGTTGTTGTTGTTTCTTCTCCTTCTCCTCCCTTTCCCACTTCCACTCCTCCTCCTTGTTCTTTTTGGTACCAGGGATCAAACTCAGGACCTTGCGCTTGAGAGAAAGGCAGTGGAACCACTGAGCTCCTTTTTTGTAAGCAAAGGAAAAAGAGGGAGGCCAAAAGCCTACAGCTCTCAGTATTCTCAGGCATTTTCCCATCCAAGTAGTGTACTAACTATCCCTGACCGTTAGACATCCAACCAGATTGCTCTTGTGTGATCGTGAAAGGATCCTATTACAGTTTGGATCGCAAATGTCCCCGTGTTGAAAGCTTTGTCCCAAGTGCAACAAAGTTCAGAGGTGGGACTTTAAGAAGTGATTGGACCACAAGGACTCTGATCTCATCAATCCTTGTTGAAGGGAGTGGGCCATGGGGACATGTCCTTGGGGACTGTATCTTGTCAGCGGTCCCTTCTTCTCAGGTGCTTCCTTCTCCCACTCTTTCTTGGACACCATAAAATGAGCAGCTTTTTCCCATGATGCTATTCTGCCATGATGTGCTACCTCATCTCAGGCCCAATAATAACAGATCCAGGCAACCATGGGCCAAAACCTTTGAAACCATGAGCCAAAATAAACCTTTCCTCCTTTAAATTGTGATTCTCAGGTATTTTGTCGCAGTGGAAAGCTAGACCACACAACCCCTCCATCATAATAAATAAATCATTTTGCAAAAAAAATTATGAAAATTTGGAATTGAATGATCAATTTTACTGCCTAAAGAAGGGTCCCAAAGAAATAAAAGTGACTGTTTCAAATCTTTTCCTAAATATTAGAAAAAATATCTTCCTGGTGGGCAATCTGCCACAGACTGTAAACAATTCTGTGATAGTGAGACTATCCAAGTAAATAGAAAATGTACCTTAAACTTGTTCTCTTTGCTATGTTTGAAAGTGTCCCTGAAATCACGTCTTGTAAATTTAATCCCCAAATTCACTTATTATTGGCATTTGGGAATAAAACCTTTGGGAAGTGACTGGGTTAAGATAGCTCTGCTCTCAAGTATGCTTAATCCTAGCCAGGCATGGTGGCACACACCTATAATCCCAGCACTCGGGAGGCTAAGGCAGGAAGATCGCTGTGAGTTTGAGACCAGCCTGGGCTACATAGTGAGTTCCAGGGCAGTCTCAACTACATAGTGAGACCGTGTCTCAACAAACAAAACAAAACCAAAACAAAAAAAAAATGCTTAATACTTTCATGAATTCAATGATTTACAGACTAATGGATCATAATGGAAGTAGCTTTGTTATAAAAGCAAGCTAGCTCTCTCTGGCAAGCTTGCCTTACTATGTGACATCCTACAATTATGATACAAGAAGAAGGCCTTCCCCACCAGACGCCAAGATGCTAGTGACATGTTTTTGGACTTCCCATCCTCCAGTGCTATAAGCTAAATAAATCTCTTGTGGCAACAGAAAATAAACTAAGATTGTCTTAACATTTTTTAGGGCTTTAAATAATCTCACCTTTTCCAAAGAACAAAAGATTTGTCATGGTAAATGTAGAGAGTTATTATAAATTATATGGTGTCTAGGCACCATCTAACAGAAATATGAGAATAATAATTGTTACAGTAAATTTAAAACTTAATAAAATAACAGACAAAACCCAAACTTTTCCCTTTTTGGTATTACTTGGCAGGAAGCAGGACTCGGGATGTAGCTCAGTGGTAAGGGATTTGCCTATCATATATGAAGCCCTAGGTTGAATCTCCAGTTGCTGGGGCAGAACTGGGTGGCAGAAAGCATTGGATAGGTTTAGAATATTTTCTAAAAGCATTCATTTCCATTATCATTTAAATATGGATATAATTTTTTTCCAGCTCTTCACAAAACATTCTAATAACAAATGGTATCCAAAAATTGTTGCGTTTTTTTAATCAGAAAAGAATTTACCATCTCTGAATAGGAAACTAATGTGGCGGGGGTGTCAGCACTCAAACTCAGGACCTTGTGCTTGCCAGGTAGGCAAGGCACCACTGAGCTATATCTCCGGCCCCAGAAACTGTAATTTTATCCCTAAAGTTTCTGCACATTAAAAGTAACAAAATGTTAATAAACTGGGTCTCTCTCCAGCAAAACTTTCAGCCCCTAGAGTGTTCCATGGCATCTAAGTCTGATCAATGATAAACCACTAACTTTCTTTATCACTCTCTCTGTATTCAAGCTTTTCAGTCTTACACTGTTTCTTTCCATCGGCCGCAGAAAAGAAGGAAATCACTGGTTTTTACAAACTCTATGTGGAGGTGGGGTTGGGCAGCTTGGATGCAATCAAGAGGCACTTGGCATTCTAAATGAAGGAGAGTTCAAGAAAAAGGCCACATTAGGGGTTCAGGGATTTAGCTCAGCAGTGCTGACGCCTGTCTTGCAAGCACAAGGTCCCAAGTTTGATCCTGGTACAAAAAAAAAATTACACTGAGCTCGGAGAACCTTGGACTGCAGAGTGAAATGTTACACAAAGTGGGACATGATCACTCCTGAAGTCCTCTGAATCTTCGGTAAAGTCTACAGAAATCACTAATTGCTTAGTGTAACTGTGTTTCTTTTGGAAAGTATTAAGCACCGAGTCTACATACTGATGGGCAAGGGGCCAAAATGCAATTGGCCTACGTGATCAGAACAGCTTGAACCAACACAAGCAGGGGGACAAGGGTGTCACTTACAGCTGATTTCAACAGACACGGAACCCATCCACCTCCTCTATGAACAGAACCATTTTTAACACTGTGCACTTAGGCATTTGTAAATATGCAGCGGAGTCTGAAACAAAGAAGAATTCAAAGACTTGGAAATATATTTTGTATTTAAGACTAAATTGACACTAAAGAAGTAAAATGTTCATTTTTTAAAGAAAAGGTTATTCATTTTGTCAAATGTTTACAGTGATTTCAGCTCAAAAGCTCTAATTTTCATATTGTTCCATCACCCAATTCTTCAAAATATGCTGTGTGAGGCTGACCAAGGGAACATTTTACAAACTCTACTTCTCCACCCCCATTCTTCTCCAGCTGAAAGTGAATGCTAACGAAATCCTCCACAGTCTCTTCATCCATCTGAATGTGCTCCAGTCCAGTCAGGAGCACTGTCCTCATAGATATTCCTGAAAATACCTGCCAAAGGAAAAAAAAGACAAATAGAAAAATTTCTAAAAGCTCTGAATCACACAACTTTACATTCAAAAGCTGTACATAGTGGACTTCAGCCTAGGAGACACAGGGAGCCTTAGGAAGATTTTCAGGCACGAGACTGTCAGAGTTATGTGGAATTTCAGAAAGGTAACTCTGGTGGCATTATGAAGAAGAGAGGAGTGGGGGGCAGCTTGAGGAACAGAAAGACCTGTACAAGAGGGAGAGGTAGAAATGACACATTTTGTGACCAAATGAATGTTAAGAGGTGAAGCAAAATTAAGAATTAAGTATGAGTTCCAGCTTCTAGGTTGGAAGACTAAGTAGATAGTGCCACCATTTAATATCTTACAAGGAATAGAAAATTGCAGCAGGTTTGGAATAAAAATAATGAGTTCAAACTGGGAGTGGTGATATATATCTATAGTTCCAGTACTGTGGGAGGCTGAGGCAGGAGAATTACAAATTCAAGCCCAGACTGGACAACTCAGTAACTTAGCGAGACCCTATCTCAAAAAAATAAAAAAGGGGCTGGGGATTTGGCTCATTGGTTCTGCTGCCTGCCTGGGGAGCACAAAGGCCCGAGTTCAATCCCTGGTACCAAAAACAAAACAAAACAATCAAAAAAATAAAAAGGAGGGGATGTAGCTCAATGTAAAGGCATGGGGTTCAGTCGCCAGAACTATAATATAAAATAACAATAATAATAATAAATTCAGTGAAAATAAGCTGAAAGAGCCAGGTATGGTGGCACACATTACAATCCCAACTACTCAGGAGATGGAGGCACAAGCTCCATGCCCAGTGATAGGAGAGACATTAAGGGAAATGCAGCTGTGTCTCCACATACAGAAAGAGAATAATAAGTGGGGCATGGTAGCACACATCTATAATCCCAGCTACTAGGAGGCTGAGGCAGAGCGATTGTAAATTCTGGCTATGCCTGAGCAACACAGCAAGACCCTGTCTCAAAATAAAATTTTAAAAAGGCCTGGGAATATAGCTCCATAGAAGAGCATTTGCCTAATACGTGCAAGGTAACGGGTTCAATCCTCAGTGCCATGAAATAGATAAATGGACGGACGGATGGATGGATGGATGGAAGGATGGACAGACAGAATAAATGAACTAAGGCACAGGTTTGTATTAAAATATTCTTTACAAAGACAGACTTATTCTGCATCAAACAAAAATGAAAGAAATTAGGTATTGCTCACTAATAAGAATGAAATACTAACAGACTCAACCTTTTCTTTGTTTTTTGTTGGGTAGGCCTGGGCAGTAAGATCTCAAAATGAAAAAAGAATGACTTTTTAAATCTAGTATTGTGCCTATATAATCACAGCAACCCAGAAGCCTGATTCAGGAAGAGCCCAGGAGTTCGAGACCAGACTCATCTCAAAAAAAAGAAGACTTTACCTGATACTTTTGCAAGCGCCTTTCTATGTATGGAGACACAACAACTCTATGGCAGCTTTGATTTATGTAAAGAGGGTAGTCTTTCTTTTTCAAAATCTTGTCGGTGACTAAAAGTAAAAAAAAAATTGTAGTATCATAAACATTTCTAACCAAAGTTAAAACTTCTTTCCAACAGAATTTAATATCATGGTAAACACTGAATCTAGTGATTAATTTCTAAAAAATTCTATGGTTCAGGCTAGGGATTTAGCTCAGTGGTTGTGCTACCTGCCTTGCAAATGGAAGGTCCCAAGTTCAATCCCCAGTACCAAAAAAAAAAAAAAAAAAAGAACCAAGGGCCAGGGATTTAGCCCAGTGGTTCCCCCACCTTCCCCAAAAGCACATGGACCCATGTTCGATCCCTGGCACCAAAAAAAAAAAAAAAAAGAACCAAACACTGTAAAAATCTATGGTTCATGCTAAAGACTTCACAGTTCATAATTTTGAAAAGCATAAGACCAAACAATGACTTTTAAATGGTCCCTTCTGTCTTGAACTATCCACTGCAGCCAACCACAGGGGACTGCAGTATCCTCGGACAGACATCCCTTGAGCTACATAAAATACAAAGTCATCTGTTCTCATTTTCATGGGAAATTAATTGGGCTGTTCCAATACATGATATTCAATCAGGTGAAACAATGATGTTAACCAAAAATGAAGGGGCACTGAATGTCATCTAGAAATTGTAAAGGCAAATTCAACTTCTCTAGTTTTCTCAAATATAAATAATTGTCTGATTTATTTTTACAATATTTTTTCTCCTAGAGTGGATGACAGTAGTGCAAAAAGATGAACAGATTTAATAGAAAAAATTATTGATGCCATCCAATCAGCTTTTTTAAAACCCCCCCTCTTTAGTCCGCCTGCATGAGAAATATGGTACACCGGTTAACAGTTCAGGCCCCTGTTGTGAGGATATGGAGAAACTGGAACCCTGGGCCATTGCTGGTAGGAACATAAAATAGCACAGGCACAGCAGAAAAGCAGTTCCTCAAAATATTAAACATGAAATCGCTATGTGATCCAGAAGTCACACTTCTAGTTAAATATTCAACCAAGAGCAGGGGCTCAAACAAATAACTGCATGCTAATGTTCACAGCAACATTATCTATGGCAGCCAAAATGTGTAAGCAACCAAAATGCCTACCAATAATGGATAAATAAAATGCATGCAAGAGGCCATCGCTCAAGCCGCAGGACATAGCCTGGACCCCGATCCACTGCGGGAAGGAGAGCCATGCCTGCCCCCGACCCAGCTGCCATTGCTCAAGCACCGGGAAGGTAGCGGAACTCCCATAACCCGCCCTCCGCACTCTCAGATCTCCTGACTGTGCCAGTCTTTGGACCCACTCTGCAGAGGCAGAGGTGGTCATCAAGGGTATTTTTCTGAGTTCCCAGCTTTGAACATCTTTAAAGAAAGGGCGTGGGAAACCTGTAATAGAACGTTGTGGAGTTCAACCATTCAGAAGGTTGGGGAACTCAATCTGGGCCTTCCAGCCCAAGGTCAGTCAGCGTCATGGGGTTCAGCCATCAGCTAACTGAGACCAGGGGTCTTGCATCCTCGCTCGGTCTGAGCCATTAAATGATAAATACACTATATTGAAATTTTGTTCACTGCAGACATGTTCTGGACAGCTTCTTCATATCAATTTAATTCAAATGATTTAAGGGTGATAGACTAGTGACTACCACAGGTGGTCAGTGTCAAAGTTGTGCTTGATCTTAATGTGTTGCTGATTGTATCAGTTGGGATAAAGCATTGCGGATGATTTGATGAGCTGTTTTCTCTGATGTTATGAAGATGAGAATGTCTGTGGGTCGTTAGAGACACAAAGCTAGGGTGCAAATATATCAGGAAGATTTGGGTGATAACCCAGAGATTAAACCAAGGACAGTCCAACAACAAAAATAAAAATGAGAAAACACTTAAGCAAGACACAAAGACAGACTACCAGTTCACCAATGGCAAACAGTAGGGCAAACGAGGATGAAAAGGCTGATAGTGAACCACCAGGACACCCTGAACTCGAAGCATAGGAAGTAACAAAACAGATCAATCAGGCTCTAGAAAAATTCAAAACAGAAATAATTTCCCAGATAACCATAGAGATAGTGAGCAAAATGGAAGTCATGACTCGAGACTCTAGAGCAGAAACTGACAAAAAAATAGATGAGCTCAGGACCATGATAGAAGCCATGAAGGGCCAGCATAAGAAAGAAATGGAAAAAATAAACGCCCAACATAGGAAAAAAATGGAATCCATAAAACAGATTCAAACAGATATCCAGGTGATTAAACACTCCATCAAAAGTGTACCCAACAGAATAAAAGAATGTGAAGATAGACTCTCAGATATAGAAGATAAGATTGCAGTCAGTGACCATGAAAAGAGAGGTCTCTTAAAAACAGTAAGAGATCATGAGAAATCGATCCAACAACTCCTAGATGATGCAAAGAAGAATAACATAAGACTGATAGGAATCCATGAAGTAGCAGGAGAAAACACAAATGACTTAAAAAAGCTCTTCACAGAATTAATGACAGAAAACTTCCCAAACAGAAGGGAAGAATTAGACATACAGATAAGTGAGGCATATAGAACCCCAACTAGCCACGATCAAAAAAAATCTACACCTAGACATATAATAATCAAGATTCCAGAAATCCAACAGAAAAACAAAATACTACAAGCAGTAAGAGAAAAGAAACAAATCACATATAAAGGAAAGCCCATCAGAATCAAAGCAGACTTTTCAACACAAACCCTTGGGGCAAGGAGAGCCTGGAATGAGATATTTCAAGTACTAAAAGAGAACAACCTCCAACCTAGACTGATGTATCCAGCAAAACTCTCTTTCAAAATAGATGGGGAAATAAGACACTTCCACAACAAAGAACACCTGAGAAACTACATGAATACCAAACCAGCACTACAAGGAATTCTAAACAAGATCCTAGAAAAAGACAATGAAGGCAACAACATCATGAGGCCCAACAGAGCAAATCAAATAGGCAAGGCAAGAAATTAAAAGGAGAAGATGAAAAAGTAAAAAGAGCCAACAAAAGGCCTATAACATGTCAATAATAAGTCAGTACATATCAGTTATAACCAACAATGTCAATGGCCTCAATTCACCAATCAAAAGAAATAGACTGGCAAAATGGAATATGAAGCAAAATCCAACAATATGTTGTATACAAGAAACACACCTAGTGCAAAAAGAAGCCCATAGACTGAAAGTGAAAAGATAGAAAACAATTCTCCATGTGACAGGAGCCCAGAAAAAAACAGGGGTAGCAATCTTATTTGCAGACAAAGTAAATTTCAAACCAAAACTGAATCTAGTATTATTGATGTAGGATGGTACTGTATCATACCTCTATGAATG